TTTCATTGTATCCAATGTTAAAATCCCATGTTCGACAGTATTAAACCTCTAAAGTATTTCTCTCACTCTCTCTCTCTCTCTCTCTCTCTCCCTTCTCTAGGAAATGCTTATTTACAGCTTTGACCAAAAAAAAAACCTTCAAAGTACCAAATGTATAGAAAAGTCGACAGCTTCGAGGGGATGAAAAGGATTTTCTTCTTTTTTTTTTATATCCTGACTTTTTTAATAATTTTTTACATGAAAGCCAAAAAAAAAAAAAAAGAAAATTTTTATTTCTTCCCGTGACGTCATAAGTATATCATCACGTTCGTAAAAAATCGTCGTTATTTAAAAAAAAAAAATAAATAAATAATTAAATTTGTTTTTCTTTTACATAAATAAATAAAATAAATAACATAAATTCATTTTTGAAATTTATTTATTTAAACATTTCTTTTGATTTTGTTAATGTTTGTTGTTGTCGTTGTCGTCGTCGTAATAAAAAACAAACAAATAAATAAACAAATGACTTTTCTTTTTTTTTTGTTTAAAAATGTAAACAAATATTTGATTCGCCATTTTTTTTTAAAAAAATGATAATAATATTTTAAAGGAAGGAATAGGGAGAAAGAGAGAGAGAGAAAACAATTTGAAAAGTTTATTTATTATTTAACGAAATAATAATAATAATAATAATAATAATAATAATAATAATAATAATAATAATAATAATAACATATCACGAGTTGTAAATGATAAAATAAAGAAAAAATGAGAAATGAGTGGAGGATGGGGGGAGAGGGTTGACTTATTAACTGGAAAACCTTTTCCAGTGTTACGGTTGAGGTCATTTTTATTACGTCTAGACGCGGTTGAATGAAAAAAAAATCGCGTTCACAAAATTATGATTCTGAAAATGTAACCGTTGGAAAAAAAAAAGAAAATTTTTATTAATAATTTATTTATTTATTTTTTTAAAAAACAGGTTTTGAGTTACACCGATGCCGACAACATAACAGAATTTTGGCCGGAAAAAAAAGAAGAAATGAAAACATTAAAACAATTAGAATTGGAATTAATGAGGGTAAGTATTAGAAAAAAAAAATTTTTTTCCCTCCCCCTCTCCCTCCCTTCCCATTCGTGAATCGAATTTTAAATAATAATAATAATAATTTATTTAATTATGGAAAAAAAATCAGAAAAAATTTTTAATAAAATTTGATTTGATTGCGTAACAAAAAAAAAAATTTTTTTTTGTTTCGAAAAATCGAAAGAAAAATTTAAATTTTTTTTTTTTTATGGTAACTTAATTAAATTTCTGTTTTAAATTTTTTTTTTTAAACTGGAGAAAACGTTAAAAAATATTTACGAAATTTTTCCATTTCCTTTTTTTTCCTTTTTTTTCTTTTCTTTTTTTTTTTTTTTACTCTATGACTTTTCGTTTTTGAACGTCTCTTTAAATTTTCACGTCGTCATTTTAACTTGAAATAAATAAAATTTGAAAAAAACATGAAAGAAAAATAAAAAAAAAAAAAGTCAAATCAAAAACTCTTAATTTTCCCTTTTTTCTTCTCCCCTTTTTTTCTTACTATCATTATTATTATTACTATTATTCGGAAAAGATTTAAGAGTAAAATAATAATAATAATAATAAAAAGAGAATCGATAAATGAAAATCTTTATTTTAAGAAAAAAAAAAAATATGAAAAAAGTTTACTTGTGTTAATAAAAAAAAGGAAAAAAGTAAGTGCGGTGCGGTTTTTGTTAAATGAAAAATTTTCTTTTGTATAATTTTTTTTTTCTCATCCATCCGTTTTTTTTTTTAGAATATGGTTTTCCGATAAAACCTTCTCAACCTTTTCCTTTTTTACACCACGAATTACCAACCTCAAAAAAAAAAAAAAAATAACTTAAAAAAGAAACCGAAAGGACTCTTTACATTGAATTTCCACTTATGTCTTTTTAAAAAAAAAAAGCCAAGCAAGGATTTCCTTTTTTTTTTCTTTTTTTTGAAAAGCTATAGAAAACTAACAAAAAGTAATAATAATAATAATAATAATAATAATAATAATAATACTATAATAATAATAATAATAATAATAATAGTAATAATAATAATAATAGTAATAAAAGAATTTTTTTTTTCCTTAATAATTTTGAAGTAAGCAAAAATCCGAAAAAAAAGAAAAAAAAATCATCATCTTCATCTTCATAATTATTATTATTATTATTAACTTTTTCAATAAAAAAAAATAAAAATTTCGATTTGACGTAATCGATGTGTAATTAACGTCAGCCATTTTGTTTTTTTTTGTATAAAATTTAATAAAAAATTTATTTAGCTTATGGATAAAATTAAATTGTTTGGAAAGAACAAGATAAAAATTATTATTATTATTATTGTTATTATCGTAAAAAGTTTAAATTATAAAAATATTGGTAAATGAAATTGTGTATATAAGTACGAAAGAGAGTGAGAGAGACAGAGAGAGAGAGAGAGTGTGAGAGAGAGATAGAAAAAGAGACGTTCCATAGTGCTATAAAACATGAAACCGACGTTGCGAAACAGAATAAACGATGTTGTTCACAAGACATTTTCCTTACCTGGATTATTTTTTTCTTTTTTTTTCTCCCATAAAAAGAAAAGAAAAAAAAAAAAAAGCAGAACGAACGCCATTTTTAAATATAATGGAATTCCGAACGGTTCGAAACGATTCGAACGTCATCAACGTACAAAAAAACTTTTTTTTAAAAAATTTTATTCGAATTAAAATTCTATAAAGGTTTTTTTTTTTTTTCGAAATCATTTAAAACAATCAACAAAACTCACTCTCATAATTTTTTTAAACGTTTATTTCATATTATTATTATTATTATTATTATTATTTTTTATTAATTTAAATTAATTGGGACGAGAAAAAAAAAAAATTGAAATTGAAATTTAAAAAAAAAAATATTTTCTTTTGTTTTTCTTCTTAATTTTCTCTTTTCTTTTCGTTACGAATATTTTTTCTCTCTCTTACTCTCACCCCCTCCCCTCTCTCTCTATCTCTCTCTCTCTTTCTTTACTGCGTTTTAAATTTGTTTAATTTTGAAATAAGAAAACAACATTTTTACTTAATAAAAACATTTTGAATAATAAAAAAAAAAAAAAGGAAAAAAAAAATTTAAATATAACAAATTGAAAAATCGAATAAATTTTCAATTACGATGAAGTTTTGAATTTCCTTTTTTTATTTTTTAAAAATTATTATTAATAATAATAATAATAATAATAATAATAATAATAATAATAAATTTTTATTTTCGAGCGGGAAATATTTATATTTAAAAAAATAAAAATTGATGTGAGATATGGTAAAAAAAATAAAAACGTTTTATTCCATTTATTAAATATTCTTAACTCGTTTATCCCATTGAAACTAATCAGTTTTTTTTTTATTTAACTAGAATTATTTTTACAATTCATTCTTAGCTAGTTAATCCTCGGAAAACTTTTCCTATCTCTCTCTCTCTCTCTCCCCCCCCTTCTCTCTCTCTCTAAAATCGATAAAATATTTTTTTTTCAAACGATTGATTTATTAATTAAAAAAAAAAAAAAATTACTTACATGTATGTGACTAAAAAAGAATTCGTGATTGAAATTTCTAAAAAAATATATTCCAAATGGAAAATTAAATTTTCCCTCCTTTTACCCTTTTACCCCCTCTCCCTCCCTCTTTTCCGTCCCCTCTTCCCCTCCCACGTTTTTTTTTCGTTAATTTTAATTGACGCGCGTTTTTTTTTTTTTTTTGAATGTTTCTCAAACCCTCTCAAAAAAAATTGTACGCGAAAATTGTTCGACTAAAGAATAATAATAATAATTTTGAGTTGTCACGTTGTCTGCACTGACAAAAAAAAAACATGACTAACGGCCTATTACGTAACAACACTTTTCTTTATTAAAATTCGGTCCACTTAAAAAAATGAATTCGTATTTGTGTTAAAACAAACAAGGAGGATTCGATGTTTTTCCTACACTTACACTTACACACACACATAATATTTCAAAAAAAAATGGCGACCGAGGGTAGGGGGAAGGAGAGTGCGTGCAAATGAAATCAAAACCTTTACTACAACCTCTTCAGCAAGTGTGTCTGTGTGTAACAACAACAACAACCGATCCAATTGTAATTATAAAAGATATATATTGTTTTTTTTTTTTTTTATTAAAAACTTTATTTTCGAAATAAAAAAAAAATTCATGCGTTCGTATGATAAAAACCAAAAAAAAAAGGCTCGAAATGTGCGTGCGTGTGCGTGTGCCTGTTAAACTAATTATACGTTCAAAATATAATTTATTAAAACTCATTCATTAATTAGTTAACAAAACATATAAATTTGTTTCGTTGTCATTTTGTTTAATAATAATTTTCTTAAAATTAAACTTTTATAGTTTTTCTCAGTCTTATTTTCAACCGAATTTAAAACAAACAAACAAAACCAACAACCGTTGTAATTTTGCTAATTCATATATTTATATTTTGTACATATTGATATTATTTTTATTTTATAAATGGAAACGATTTTCCTTTTTACTTGGGATTTTTTTTTACAATTATTATTATTATTATTTTTTTTATAGATCATTTTACACACGTGCACGCACGCACCAAACACGTGCGAAATTAAAAAAGAAAAGAAATTTCAATTTGAAAATAAATCGGATTAAATGTATATATAGGAGAAGAATCGTATATATATATGTCGCATACGTAATTCAAATTATATACATTTTCCTCTTACTCTCTCTCTTTGTCTCTCTCTCTCTCTCTCTCTCTCTCTCTCTCTCTCTCTTAAATGCCAATACTAAATCCGCCACTAAATTTTAATACTTACAAAACGTTGAATAATAATAATAATAATAATTTTTTTTTGTTTAACAATTTAAAGTTGCGAAATTAAAAAAAAAAAAGGGGGGGAGGAAAAAAATTATTATTATTATTATTTATAATTTTTTTTTTTTTTAATAAAGTAAGAAAATGTGTAAATCTTTTATGAGTATTAGAAGCGTAAATTTTCTTTTCTCTCTCTCTCTCTTTTTCTCTCTTTTTTCTTTCTCAGCATTCATTTTTATAATTTTGTATTCAGGAAAAGAATAACTAAGAAATGAGTTTTATAATTGAAAACGAAAACATAAAACGATGTTGAAGAAAATTAATCTTGCATTATGAATGTTGATTTTTTTTTCCTTTCATTTATTATTATTATTATTATTATTTATTTTTTCGTCGGGGTCGTCGAATAGGAACCGGAAAAAAGAGGAGAAAATGTTAAGGAAAGACAACGAGGATGGTCATCATGGTCACCGTGGAGCACGTGTTCGAGACATTGCGACGGTGGTATATCTTATCAAATGAGAAGATGTCGGATATCGAATAATGGTGGGGGATGTCACGGGGAAGGAATTCGTTATAAAATATGCAACATGCAGGTACGGTAGATAATACCTAATTGAAACTTTCGCGAGGATAATAAAAAAAATGAATTAATGTTGGTTTTTTTAGGCGTGTTCAGAACCCGTGGATTTTCGAGAAGAACAATGTGCAGCATTTAACGAATCCCCATACGATGATCAATATTTAAAATGGTCTGCTCATTATGATGATAACGAACCTTGTTCGCTTACATGTCGCGGAAAACCTGATAAGGAACCTAAAGAAAAATCTGAGGAAGATGATGAAAGTTCGATAATTGTACAATTGGCACCCAAAGTCCGCGATGGAACACGTTGCAGACTTGGAAGTTTGGATATGTGCGTGAATGGAAAATGTTTGGTAAGGTCTTCCCTCCCCTCCCCCCAAAAAAATTTTTTTTTTGTAAATACAATTTCATTTAAAAAATCTTTTTAAAGGTCAACAATTTTTTTTAATAATAATAAAAAAATACATAGTCAAATGATTATTATTATTATTTTTGATTAATGTAACGTCACATTATTATTCAGATGACTGATTTAAAATTTACTACTTGGAAAAAAAAAAAAAAAGGTTAAAAGGTTAATCTAGCATAAATTTCCGTTTTTATATCAGAGAGTCGGGTGCGATCTTCGAATCGGATCAAATCGTAGAATTGACGAATGCGGAGTTTGCGGAGGTGATGGATCAACTTGTGCTCAACCTTTATATCAATGGGAAGAAAAATCAGCATCCCTTTGCTCTGTAACATGTGGAGGAGGTAATAATATTTTTTTTTTTTCCAATTTTTTCATTAGAGTTTAAATTTTAACCTTTCAACTTTCACCTTTCACCTCGAAGGAAAATTTAAAAAAAAAAATTTTTTACGTTTGTAAAAATAAACAAACGGAAATGAATAAATAAAAACATTTAAAGTACTTGGAAAAATTCGATTGGTTAGAAAATAATTATATTATTGTGTAAACGTAAAAAACCGAACTTAACCGAACTTTGCCGAACCTTTATATCAATAACAAACGAAATAATTTTGTTTTTTTTTTTTTACGTTTTCCGTTAACTCGTACAATTATTTAAAACTTTTCCTTCTTTTTTTTAAATAAATAAATAAATAAATAATAATAATAATAATAATATTAATAATTATTATTATTATTATTCGTTTCGAGTTAAAATATTTCAATTTTCTTTATTTCTTAAAAATAATTATATGATTTAAAAGGGGGGAGAGAAGTAGAAGGAGGAGAAGGAGGAGGAGAGAGAAGGGAAGAAAAAAAAGTTTTTATTTTTTTGAATAATTTAAAATAAGAGAAAAAAAATTTTTTTTTTCTTCGGGGGCGAGGGGGAAGGGGGTTAAAACAAAACGTAATTATCACGAAAACTTGAGAAAATTTAAAAAATTACTTTTCGTCATTGAAAATTTGCAAAGGAAAAAAAATTTTTTTTTTTTTAAATAAAAAATTCTCGAATTTGACAAAAAGAAAATGGGGGGAGGGGAGGGAGGTAGGCGGGGAGAAAAAAAATTTTTTCGGGCTTTTTTGTGCGTGTTGTAATCTCAGTTTGAAATCTTCATTATTTTTTTTTTTTTCTTTTAGAGAAAAAAAAAGATTTTTAAAAATTGTTGTTTAAATGCGTCTCTTGGGTGGTTGTAGTTTTTCTTGTAGTAGTTTTTGTGCCAAAATTTCAAATTTTATTCCCTCGGGAGTTTGAGATTATGAAATATAAAGCAAAATCAATAAGGGAAAAAAAAAAGAAAAAAGGAAAACTTTTTTTTTTCTTTTTTTTTTTATTTTCTAATAACAAAATTAAAATTATTTGTTTCGAGTAATTTATTTAAGTAAAAAAATTTTTTTTTTCTTTAAAATTTATTAATAATAATAATGATAATGATAATAATGATAATTTTAATGTTTTTTTGTTTTTTCCCCCCGTTTATTAATCGAAATCGTTAAAGTATAAGTGAATAACAAGATGTTAAAAATTTTTTTTTTTCTTCTGCTTCTAATCATTATCATTATTATTATCATTAGCATCAATGTTAACAACAAAAAAATTAAAATTCAAAAAAAAAAAAAAGGAAAAAAAGGAAAAGAAAAGAAAAGAAAAGAGAAAAAAAAATTTTAGGAAGTCGTTAACGCCCCCGAAAAAAATCGAAATCGCTTTTTGTAATAATAATAATAATAATATAAATGTAATAAGTATGAATGTTTTTTAAATGATTTGAATAACGACTTTTTCTTTTTTTTTGTTATTATTAAACTTTTTTCTAGAAAGTTCTTTTGTGTCGAAAAAAAAAGAAAAAAAAAAAAGGTCAGCAGCAATTTTTTAAAAAGGATAATTATCGTTCGTCATTATAAAATCTCTCTCTCTCTTTCTTTCTCTCTCTCTCTTTCTTTCTCTCTCTCTATCTTTCTCTCTCTCTATCTTTCTCTCTCTCTATCTTTCTCTCTCTCTATCTTTCTCTCTCTCTCTCTTTCTTTCTCTCTCTCTCTCTCTTTCTCTCTCTTTTTTTAAGCATTTAATCTACTCGAATAAATTTTTTTTTTTTTATAATTATAATCGATAATCAATAATAATAATAATAGGTAATTTCTCACTGAAATAAATATAAAAAAATTGCGAAAAATAAAGTATAGATGGATGGTTTATGAGTGCGCGGTTTTTTTTTGTGTTAAAGGTTATAAAATGTCGAGAGCGGTTTGTAAAAATCGTATAACCGGCGAAGAAATGGATGAACTTTTATGTAATTCATCGATAAAGCCCCCCGCAAAAATCGTGGATTGTAACGATAATCCATGTTCTACGAGATGGTCAATCGACGAATGGGGGCCATGTTCGGCCACGTGCGGAAACGGAATCAAAAATCGAAACGTTTATTGTAGCGAAAAAATTAATTTTACTTCAATTACTGTAAGTTTTTTTTGGATTTAAATTAACCCTTTTGATAATACAATCAATTATTATTATTATTTGCCTCCCTCCTCCCCCTTCTCCTCCTCCCTTTTACTCCCATTAAAATCGAAATTTTCGAGGAAAAAAAAAAAAAGTTAACGTTCTCAACCTTCCTATTTTTTTTTAATAAAAGTTAAAAACATTTAACAATGTTAGTTTCGAGTTAAAATTGTTCTAGAAGTTTCTTTTAGGTGTAGAAAAAACTTAATGGACGAATAAAAGAAAAAAAAAAATTTTCTTCTTTAAAGTTTTTTGTTCTTCTTTTCACATTGCTCCCCAAAAATGATTTTCTTTTTTTTTTTTTTATACCCCAAACGAAAAGAAAAAAAAAAGGGATCACGCCAAATTTACAAAGTTTTTTTTTTTTTTTAAAAAAAAAAGTTTCAAAGGCTAAAACCTAAAAAACAATTTTAAGGGTGGTAGCGATGGCGGTGGTGGTGGTGGGGGTGGCGGCGGTGGTGGTGGGGGTGGCGGCGGTGCTGGTGGTGGTGGCAACACTGCGAGAAAAAACTTTAAAAAAGAAAAGATTTTAAAAGAGTTAAAAGTTGTTAATTGTTTTTTTTTTCTTCTTAATTATCTGACGCATTTTAGTTTTGTTTTTGTCAAAATATATACATTTGTTTGTTTGTTTGTTAACATAATTATGTTTGTTTTAATTTGTTTACAATTTTTTTTTTTTTAAATTAAAAAAGAATAGCAAAATAAATGTTTTTTTAAATTAAATAAATTATTTTTATTTTTTTTTTCTCAACTCAAACATCATCACGCAAATAATAATAATAATAATGATAATAATAATAAAGCAGACGATTTTAATATTTTATTTAATATAAATTTTCGACGGAAATTTATCACTCCAAACAATTTTTATCATATTTTTTTTTTAGGTACCTGATTATCATTGTTCGAAAACAAAACCATCAACTGAAGAATCTTGCAAAATAATGGATTGTCCTAAATGGGTAGCACTCGAATGGTCGGGAGTGAGTATCAGACATTAACATACATTAAATTACGTTACGTTTATTATCATTATCATCATATCCGTTTTAGTGTTCCGTATCGTGCGGCGAAGGAATTCAAACGAGAACAATCGGTTGTAAAAATGGTTCGAAACCCTCGAACGTTCCATGTAACGAATTCGATAAGCCAACATCGATACAAACGTGTCATTCGGGGATTCAATGTCCGGAAACGACAAAATCATCATCGTCGGGTTCGTATCATTAAATATTATTATTATTTAATTACGTTACTGTAATAACTATAAAAAAATGTGGATTTTATTTTTTTAAATTTAATTATTAAAAAATACATATTATTAACGGTGGGGATTCATATTTTAAAGAAGGAATTGAAGAAGAAGAAGAAGAAATTAAAAATGGAGAAAAAGAAGAAAAAAATTTAAAACAACAACAGACATTTTATCGTGGTTATCCACCGGTTGTACCACTTTTGGGTCCCATCGAATCAGGTCCTTATGGGGCAACAGCCGAAAAACTTGTCGGAAGTGAAATAATTCCATCTCATCATTCTATTGGCGCCACGTAAGTTTTTTATTATCATTATCATTATCATCATTATCGTTATTTTTATCGAATAAACTATTTTACGAAAGAAAAAAAAATAAAAAATTTTTGTTTTTATTAATGTACTTTCTTAAAAAAAAACAAAAAATTCTTACTCATGATAACAAAAAAAAAACATTTGATAACACAAAAAATTATTATTATTATTATTATTATTATTATTATTATTATTATTATTATTGTTATTATTATTTTCTTCAAATATTATCGATTTATTTATTTTTCGATACAAATTACGATGAAACAAACATAAAACATTTGAAAAGAAAAATTAAAAAGAAAATTTCTTTTTTTTTTATTCATAACATTTTTCTTAACTCATTTTAACTTATCACAATTAAATAATAACTCATTCGTTATGATAATAATAATATTGTTATGGTAACAAAAAAAAAAAAGTTTTTCAATGAATCAGGTTTTTTAGTAACTACAAAGTATTCTTTGCTTGCGGCTGGCTTTTTATCAGGTAGGAAACATTTTAAAAACAAATAACTAAAAAAAAAAAAAAAAAAAAAAAACCTCTCCCTCCCCCCTCCCCCCATTCCCCTGCACACAATTTACACTTATACTATTATTATTTTTTCTTATAAAAATTTTTGTATCACGTGGTGTAAAAAAATTTTTTTAATCATTTTATTATTACTTTTTTTCTTAGACTTTAGGTACACAATGCGAAGTAATTTATTTTTTTTTTTAAAGTAGATTAGTTAAAATTTTTATTATATAGGAATAAACAAACAAACAAACAAACAAAAACCGTTTTACGTGCATAAAAAAAATTTATTACTTGAGTATAAAATTATTATTATTATTTTCTACGTACTTTTTTCCGTTAAGTAAAATTATTGAATATTTTCTTTGTTGATTTATCACAAATTTAATAACATAATGTAATTGATTATTATTATTATTATGACAACAACATATTGTCGTGTCGTTAACAAACAAACAAAACTTTTTAATCGAGTTTGCATGACTTTTTTCGAAGAAAACTTTTAGAATTTTTTTTTTAGTTAAGTTTTTTAGTTGATGAGTTAGGGTAATAGAAATAATAAGTTTTTAATTTTTTTAGTTTTATTCCCGAAAAATGGGGACCCTGCAGCGTGACATGCGGTGAAGGTGTAAGAAAAAGAGGAGTCGAATGTAAAATATATTTGGAATTAACGGGTGCCATTGCAAGATTACCAGACGAACAATGCAGAGGACCAAAACCTTCGACACTCGAAAGATGTGTTTTAGATCCTTGCGTTATGAATAATAAGTAAGTAGAAAAAAATTTTTTTTTAATGTCAAAAATGGATTCTTTTAAAAATAATATTCGTTAATGATTTTCATAGGATGGATATATCAAAAGACAGACCTGTGTCCGATCAATATTCTCATGGTTCTTCGCAATCACAAAAAAAACTTAAAGTTGCACCTGAATCATCCGGTAAAACGTATTCGTGGAAGCAACAAGGATTCACTCATTGCAGTGCATCTTGTTTGGGTGGCGTACAAGAATCCATAATCAATTGTATAAGAGATGACGATCAGAAAGTTGTCGTACCCTTACTATGCTCACCGGAAACCAGACCGGAAAGTTTAATAAGAACTTGTAACGATCAACCGTGTCCTCCACGATGGAATTATTCTGATTTTCAAGTAAAATTTAATTAATTTTTTTTTTTATTTTCGTATTTTCAACCTTAAATAAAAAAAAAAAATGTTTTTGTGACAGCCTTGTACTAAATCTTGCGGCATCGGAATACAAACAAGAGAAGTTAATTGCATACACGAAGTGACCAGAGGTGGAGGTACTACCGTTGTCGTACCTAACAGCATGTGTCCTCAACCGCCACCGCCGGATCGACAATATTGTAACGTATTAGATTGTCCGGTACGATGGCATACCGGAGATTGGTCAAAATGTTCGAAAAGATGTGGCGGAGGTTTAAAAACAAGGTAACTAATGGTATACTAAAAATTTTTTTCTTAAAAATGATTTTTAGCTTATTGTGCATCTTTATCTCAGAACCGTTCAATGCAAACAAGTCATGGCTCAAAATCATATCATGGATCGGCCCATATCAATGTGTCCTTCCATAAAACCCCCGGATAAAAAACCATGCAATACAAAATCATGTGTGGAAACGGATCGACCGGTTATTGCCAGTGCCATAAATCAAACGTACGTTCAAACGAACGCTGGGAAAAAAAAAATATCGTTAAAAATTGGTGGTAGCGCACAAGTTTTTTTGGGTACTCAAGTTAAAATTAAATGTCCGGTTAAAAGATTTGACAGGTACTGTGTTATCGATATATATAATAAAAATTTTCTATCGTAATTTTTTTTTTTAACGTAACAATTTCGAATTGCAGGGCTAAAATTCAATGGGCGAAAGATCACAAATATTTACAACAAAGTAAAAAATTTAAAATATCTAAAAAAGGAGCATTGAGAATAAATAACATGTCTTATAGAGATAGCGGAGTTTATACTTGCATAGCATCGAGATCAACGGCTGATATAACGGTGACAGTAAAACCATTGCCTGGACATTTTCCAAATTCAGAAGAAATACATCAAACTCAAAATAATTTGGAAAATCCAAGTTATTATGAGCCCAATGCAGATTCGAGTAAAAATAATTTTTTTTTTGTTATGATTAAACAAATACTGTTTGTTATGATTATTTTTATCAATGGATAAATTGTTTTGCTGATGCAGGTGATGATGCTGTTGTAGGAAGTCAAAAATCATTTCTTTTACCAAACGAAGATGATTTAAGTCACGAATTAAAACCTGATGGTATTCCTCCGCCGAAAAAGACAAAACAAAGAAAATATAAACCCATTCCGACGATCAAACCGATTTCTAAAGAAGATTTTAATTCAATAAATAATTATGATAAATCATGGCCGCCATTAACATCAACGACATTAAAATCCGATCAGGTAAAATTAAATAAAGAGAAAAAAAGAAAAGGAAAAGAAGAAGATTTTATACCATCTCTCTTATTTTCTCTTCATAAATCTTTCCTATAACTTTTTAAGAACTTATTTTTTCTTGGCATGCAGGACCAAAGTGAGGAATTTTTCAGCCAACCCTCAGGACCTTATCCTTCGGGCCCTGGGGGATTTTCAAGTTCTGGCAGCTCTCGCGCTATGCCTCATTTTCAACAACTTTTGGCTAATCTCCAGGTGAGCCTGGCTTTATAAAAAAAAATTATCTCATTACCTTTTTTTTTCTTTTTCTTCGCACTGTCTCTCTCTCTCTCTCACTCTCTCTTTATACATATATTTTTTTTATGTGTTTTCCTTTGATCATCTATTTCTTAAAATTTTTATTTAATTTTTCATCATTTGTAATACTTTGATTTTTTTATAATATTATATTTAAATTGTTTTTGCAATTTATTTAAAAAAGGTTCATATTAATAAAAAGCACAGAACCTTTTGCCTTTTCAGGCTTTTGGAAGTTCTAGGGGGCACAGGGCTCTTGCCGCTGACTTAGCCCCCGGTCACCGCTCATTATTGGCCGATCATCCGGGACCCTTTCCATTGCCGGACGACTATACCGAAGATACAGATTCCGATGCGGAAGATTCGATGGGTCCAATGATTATATTGGGAAAAGGAAATCCGAAAAATTTAAAATTTGAATGGGAAATAAAGCCGTGGAGCAGTTGCACCGTCTCTTGCGGCGAAAATGGATTTCAGGTAGGAACGAGAGTTAATAATAATAATAAAAAAACAGTTTGTTTAATAACATAAAATTATTGTGTTGTGTTGTTTGTCACGACAGACGAGAACCATTCGATGCCTTGTTAAATTAAACAACACAACGCAAGAAGTTAAAGGTGACTTATGCGAAGATGCCGGTTTGGAAACTCCAAATAAAATACAAAATTGCGGACTGGAATGCCCGAGTTGGACTCATACGGATTGGTCTCTATGCGAAGATTCAAGATGTTTTACCTGGAATACGGCCATGCAAAAAAGAGATATATCTTGCACTTATAAAAACGGTACGGAAGTTGATTCGTCACTTTGCGATCAAAACGAAAAACCGACTCAGCGACAAGAATGTTACAATGACAAATGTAAAGGCACTTGGAAAGTGGGAGAATGGTCGGAGGTAAAAATTAAATGCCCCCCCCCCATGATTAATCTTATAAAAAAAAAAAAACATTATTTAAATTTATATTAAAGTGTGCTGCCGAATGCGAAACGGAGGGCGTTAAATATCGAATATTACAATGCGTTTGGTACGGTACTAAAAAACCAGCAGGTAATGCGTGCAGAGATCAACCGAGACCGTCCGTTATGAAAATATGTAAAGGACCTCCATGCGTGGTTGGTAAGTTGTCTTTTCGAAAACATTCCTTCGACAACCAACAACCAACAACGACAACCAACTCATAAAATTATAAAAAATTGGTTTGTTTTCAGGAGGCGATTGTAAAGATCAATCAAAACTTTGTCATAGTGTTTTAGCAAAAAATATGTGTCGAGTTTACAGGTTTCACACTCAGTGCTGCTACACGTGTAGAGTTCGATTATCAAATGTAGGTTAATAATTAATTATTAATAAAGGCTGCCAACACGACTTATTAATTAATAATAATAATAATAATTCATTTAAAAGAGAAAAAAATTTAAATTGTTAATAATAAATAAAAGTTAAGTTTATTTAATATTTAGATATACTAATGTTTAAATCAATTTATTTAAATAATAACAAAAACTTTTTTTTTAAAAAAGCATGTTAATAATTATTATTATTATTAATTATTATTGTTAATAATAATATTAATAATAATGATATTAATTTAAATAAATAAATAATTTTAAGATATACACGAAAAGTATTATTATTTTTTTTATTTTAGTTTTTCTTTTGTAGTTTTTTTTATTTTATTTACTTGTTAAAATTTATTATTATTATTATTATTGTTTTACCTGACACTTATTTTTTATATATATAAGACTGTTAATAAGGATTTAGATAATTAGATTTTAATAATTTTTAATTTACTTTAAAAAAAAAAAAGAAAAAGTTAAGTATAAGATTGTATTGTTGTGTAAAAACTCAAAAAAAATTATTATTATTATTAATATAAAAATGTTTGGGGGGTGCATACGGGTATGCCACAACCAAACGATATGATAATAATAATAATGTATGTATTGAGACTGTTAAAAAAAAAAAGAGAGAGAGAAAGAAAATTTTGGGGTCTCAGTTATGTATGATCTTCCTTTGTACTTAGCTTCGTCGATAAGAAGCAATAAATAATAAGATTAGAACTTAACTTACTAAGTTATTCTAAGTTATGAAAATTAGTTATGAAAATTCAATTCGTTTTTATATATATTATAAAAAAAGCGTTTAAGAAAAAAAAAAGTTTATTTGTTGTTTCTTTAATTATGAAAAAATAAAAATAAATAATAAGATTTTAAATTGTGCTTGATTAGGGGATTTAAACCTCCCCCCGCCCCCATCTCTCATTCCCCTAATCTCTCTTTAAAGTGTCTTTTCCGTATATAATAATAATAATAAAATTGCTTGGAAAATTGTTTTTCTTTTGTTACGAATAAAACATTCCGATGATATTTTTAAAAGCTCAAATTGTACATATATATATTACCGTGGTGAATGAATGAAACAATTCCAGAATTTAATTTTTTTTTTTTATTTATTTTCATGTTGTTATAATTTTCAATTGTTTTCTTTATTAAAAAAAAAATTATTATTATTATTATTATTATTATTATTATTATTAAATTGTTTTGTACTTGGAAAAAAAAAAATTGTTATTTCAATGAAACGGTAAATAAAATTAATTACGGCTTAATTTTATTTATTTATTTATTTTGCATGAAAATCTTGTCCCTTAAAAAAAATTTAAAAATTTTTACCGCCTTTTTTTTTTCCTTCGCCTTCCGCCTGCCCCCCCCCCAAAAAAAAAAGTAAAAAAAAATGCCTTAAATGAATTTTTTTTTATTTTATTATTTTTTTTTTTTACAAAATAAATAATTTTTTAATAATAAATTTGAAATTTAATAAAAATAAAAAATTTACAAAAATCTGGCTGGGATTTATCGGATGATTGGAGGAAGAAACAAACAAACAAACAACAATCAACGTTTTTTGTACTGTCGTCTTCCAACGTGTAATTGTACGGCGCCATTTTTAATTTCTTTAAATACGTTTATGGCTTCCTGATGACTTAAACCGTGAAAAGGTTTTTGATTAACTGCTAATATTTCGTCACCTGTAACACAAAAAATAAATTTTTTTATATTTTACCCGTGTTTGTCGTGATTGTTGTTGTTTGTTACGATTGTATATTCGTGCGTTAACCAAATAAATTTGTTTTTTTTTTTACGTATCGTGGGAAGTCGTCGATTGAATATTTTACCAAAAAAAAAAAAACGAACCTTCTTTTAAAGCTCCACTTTCGGCTGCTTGTCCCGTTGGAAATATCGTTTTAACGTAAATTCCCATGTGACCCTTAGGGGAATCCCTTCCTCCGACAATACTAAAACCTAAACCTTTTTGTCCTGGTCCTTTTGTAAATGTAACGGTTAATATTGAAAATCCGGATCCTTTACCATGTCTTGGAAGTGTGCAAAATTTACTACTTTCTTTTTCATCGTCTGCACTATCCGAATCTAATTTCAACGGTAAATTCTGGAATTAAATAGAATTGAGTTTATTAATGATGACGTCACCAATTGTATTCCCTATATTTAAATAGTGTGAATTCACAATTCAATTGAGTTACGTAAAAAAAAAAAAAAAATTTTTTTAGTATTAAAGGGTTTAAAATTACAAACGGGTATCGAACAAACGAACAAACAAACAAAAAAGAAATTTGCTTAGTGTAGCATCCTGTTTATTGTTCTAAATTTATACTAAAAAAAATTTTCTCACAGTTTTTTTTTTTTTTTTGTTAAAATTGTTAGCAAGAATTTTTCACCTGCAAGGAAATGGGTGGAGAACAACATTTAAGGTTAGTTACATATATCAGATAATAATAATAATAAATAAAAAACTTCCCAAATTAACAAACAAAACAATGAAGTGATACTTTTGTGTTTGTTTGTTACAACAAAACAAAGAATGGAAGAAAAAAAAAAACTTACTTCTCTACTGCCGTTAATTCTTAACGATGTGTTATCATTTTCTTCAAAATTTTTCTCTTCATTTTTATCATCATTATTATTATCCCAAACGTTTTTTTTACAATAATTTTTTATTCCTTTTTTTAAAGGTGATTGCGATCTAGTTCTATTTCTCAAAGCTTGAGATAAAGCAGCAGAAGAAGTCATCTTTCTATCACCTTTCGGTGGTAAATCTTCCAATATGGGTAAAGGATTTAATAATTTTTTATCGTTATCGTAATTTGAATTTTCTTGTATGCTGTACGGAAGAGAAGATGGTCCAGAATCTGTAAACGTTTGACACGTGATGAAACGATTCGTTATGGGACTTCCGATGTGAAAGAAATTTTTAGAAGGTTCGCATGCACTGAATCTCGAAGTTAAATAATGATGATTTTTCGAATGTTCGGATAATCTCGCTCTGCAAAATTTCGTAACAGGAGTTTCCATGTTTTTCGTTGATTCGTTAACGGCAAATTTAACATTATTCCTTTTTTCGGATGCGTGTATAAAATCGAAACGATTATGATCGTTTAATATATCGTTTGACGTGATTTTATCTCTCGTCGGACTCGTCCATTTATCACAATAAACTCGATCGTATTGTTGTTGTTGTTGTTGTTGTATTTCGATGCTGTGATATCCGTTGTCTTTACCCCACGTGTAATCTCCGTTTTCGTTAACGTCTTTACCGGAAGCTAAAGACCTATTACTCGATGTGCTCCTTCTGTCGCCATCGTCAGACGCACAAGTTCCTCTTCCGGATGAGCACACACTCGAGGTTTTACTATTTAATTCGTAATTTACTTTATCGTTCGAATCTCGAAATGCAAACGGTGGTAAACTCAGGTGACCGGTACAGTCATCATCGTTTTCGTCGTCTCTTTCGACTATATTGTCGTGAATGCTACTACCGTTTTGACTAGATGAGTTTAATGGTAAAGGCACGTAAAATATCGGATGCTGTTGTGCTCTGTTTGTTTGAACTTCGTGTATCGATACGGCTCGTCGTTTTCTTAGTCCGGCATGTATTCTATTCAATTTGCTACGTAACATTTGCTGTACGTCTGATAATATTTTATCGCTCGAACTTTTACTTTTCGGTGGTTTCGGCGAAAGAAAACTTCCATCCAAAGATAATGTATCGGATTTTGGAAAAACATCGTTGTCTTTAGACGGTGGCATAACTCGTTTCGGTGTTATGACAATCGAACCGCTACTGCTACCACCGCTATTTCGTCTTATTACCGGTACGTCACACGTCGCATCTAAATCTAATAGAGATTCTCTGTGAAGATGACCTTGAGATGAAATATAATTATTGACGGAGGAACCGGTGGTAAAAGATGTGCAGCGTCGTCTTAAACGCCGCCATTTTTGAGATATCCCTTTGTTCCACAAAGACAAATCTGAAATCGACAGGAACAAAAAAAAAAACGGTCATTAATTTTCAAATTTATGAATTTCTTTTTAAAACAACATAAATTTTATTAATAATAATATTAATAATAATAATAACAAAAAAAAATTTATAAATAAAAACGAAAAAAAGTTAAATTTTCAAAATAGTAATTAACGAAAGGAACGATGCGTGGCAGGAGATGAATTCTTCCAAATTAATGGAATTTTTTTTTTTTTTTTTTAAGAGGATGAATGTTTATGGATGCGTAACATTTCAAGTAGTTTTTAGTGGTACGTTGTTTTTCATAAACAAAAAAAAAGTTTAACGACTCATATACGTATACGGATAATACATTTAAAACAATACAAAACAAATTTTTTGTTTAAAAAAAAAAAATGGGAAAACTTTTTCCGTCTTTTCCATTTCATTATTATTATCATTATTATTATTGTTTATGTTTTGTTTTTTTTATTTACCATCATAGTGTTTGATAAACATTCAATCCATTAAAAATATTTTAAAAGTTTAATTTTAGTGCAAATAACGACTTTTACACCCTTTTTTTTAAAAAAAATTTTAGAAAAATTTACAACGGTTGGATCGCGCCAAAAATCGTCTGCTTTATTACTATCGGAAAAATCCAATCCCCCCCCCCCCCAAAAGAAGCCCCCAAAAACAATAACTCGTAGTAAAAAAAAAAAAAAAGAAAAAAAATCTTACATTTTAGTATCGTCGAACGTCTTTTAAATCTTTTTCTCGACATTTCGCATAATTTTTTATGTTTTGTTTTTTTTTTTTTTTTTTAAACAAACAAAAATAAAATAAACAATAATAATAATAATAATAAAACTACGGAAAACTATTTAAATAAATAAATAAATAAATATCCGTTTTAGTTGTTTCATCGCACAAAACAAGACTAAAAAACTAAACAAAAAAATAAAAATTATTTTTTTTAAAACTAAACTTGCGCGGTTCGTCAAGCGTAGAAATTACTTTTCTGGGTTTAACTTACGGTCAAATTCATTTTAGTTTGATTATTGTGTCGTAGGATGTGGTAATAATAATAATAATAATAATGATACTACGGTCAAATAATTTTTTTTTTAAGTAAAAGAAACAACGGAATGTTCATAATAAATACGGGCGTGGGAGAAGATATCGGTAAAGAAATTATTTACGTGTCGCAAAATTAAAAAAAAAATTTTCAATTCTACGTTTGATAATACAAAATAAAAAATAAGGTGCGTTCTCCCCCTCCCCCACATTCTCCCATTTCCCCATTTCTCTACATTTCGTTTGTCTTATGCTCCCTTTTCTTCTACCTCCTCCACTCCCTTCTTCCTTCCCTTTTTTTTATTCCCCGATCAAAATAAGTCATAACAATAAAACTTAAAACGTTATTATTATTATTATTATAACGAACGGATGAAAATCAGGTTTTAAGGTTTTTATTTTTTTGTTTATAACACCTACGAGTACTTTTGACTTTCAATTTAACCTTTAAGTTATGTAAAGGTCTCAAGCCCTTTCGTAAAAAAAAAAAAATTTTTTTTATGGGATCGGCAAAAGATAGAGAGAGAGAGGGGGAGAGAGAGAGAAAGAAAAAGTGAATTTACCTTGAAGGTAAAAATTTTTAAATTTCAAAATAATGATAATAAATAACGTTTAGGAGAATCTTTTAAAGAGAGAGGGGGGGAGACAGAATGAGGGGGAGAGAGAGAGATGGGGGGTGGATGGATGAAACTTTACTATTATTTTTCATTTTTTTATACTTTTATAAAAAATAAAATCGGTTAAAATTTTTTTTTATTGGAAAACAAAAATAAACAGTATTGCCAACAGCCAAAAAAATAAATAAAAATTTTATGTACCTTAAAAAAAAAAAAATTTAGGTAGGGATGGGTGTAAACTTCCTTCGAAACAAACACGATTTTTTTAAAAAAAATGTTTTTGTTGTTATTCGAAACGTTAAAAAACTCGACGATTATTTTAAAAAATCAAAAAATTTTAAATTTTTTTTTCTTCAAAGGTTCCACCATTGTTTTGTAAACAATGAAATAAACTATAAAAAAAAAAAAAGTTCAGGTATTTTTTCCATTGTTTTTAATAATAAACAAACTACATGAAACGAGGTATTGACATATACGAATTATTTGATTCAGGTGCAATGGATGGGTACCGATGATACTCCTTCCATCATTTTTAATATTTATATTTCTTTGTTTTATTAATTTAATTAAAAACCTTCCAGGTATTTTAATTACTCCCACAAAATTAATAATATTAAAAAAAAAAATCAAAACATTACTGTCAATCCCAACAAAAACAATAAAAATATTTTTCGGAGGAAAATTCAAAAAAAATTACAAAAGAATCGTTAAAAAATAATTTACGCCCACGATAAATAAATTAACGGTTGGGTCTTTTAAACGTACAAAAAATTATAATTAGATTTACGAATTCGAAAACAATACCCTGTTACGCTCATGTTTAACTTATGTAAAACGACGATCAAATTAAAAAAAATCCGTGGATTAAAATAAAAATTTCAGATTTTAAATTGTCGTGGCATTAGGACCTTAACTACGTAAATAAATAAAAGGTATTTAAATTATTTTTATAAACGCATAATAGTAATAATAATAATAGTTTTCAATTGTAATTTTAACACAAAAAAAAAAAATTTAAAGAAGTTAAAATGAGGTCATTCGATAATAATAATAAATGTGTTTAAATTTTGTAATCGTTTTTAACGATAATACTAACAATGATGATGATTATGATGATATAACTATTGAATTTTGTTGCAACCTGATACAGGTATACAATTTACGTAAAAAATAGAGAAGGTAAGAGAGAGAGAGAGAGAGAGAGAGAGATAGGCAAAGTGATTATTTTAAGGTTTTTTTAAAGAAGTAAATAATTTTAAAAGCTTTAAAGAAAAAAGTTACATTTAATTACATTAATTAAAAAAAAAAAAAAGCTTTTAATTTTTATCTTCCGGTTTTAATGGTTTTTAACAATAAAAATTTTTTTCCCCTTTTTCTCTCTCTCTCTCTCTCACTCATTCTCCCTTTTATTATTCTACCATCATTTTATTTCTAAATTTTGTTTTTACGATGATTTTTCTATTTTTATAAAACTTTTTTCCTTTTTTAACATTTGTATTTCTTAAAACTTTACCAAACGATACAAACCTGATTCGTAAATTTCATAAAACATTTTTTTTTTCTTATCACGATAGAAGAAAAAGACAAACAACAACGACAAACGATTAAAATACCAACCGAATCCAAAACAAAACTAAAAACAATTTTCATTTCCCCCCGAAGTTTATTTACATTTTTCTATTTCCACGTTATAAAAAGATTATCATCAGTATTCAAATTATTTCTTTGAAAGAAGAATAAAAAAAAATTATAAAGTCTAAATTAGTATTTTATTAAAAATATATTCTCCTCGTTCTTTTTCCTTTTATCCCCTCTACTGCTGCCCGCCCCCCTCTCCTCAAATATTTAATGCATTCGTCATCATCATTTTAATAATAAATTCATAAACTTAATTATTATCTATTGTTATCAATTAAAAATAAGTAACAAAACCCCCCCCCTTTTTTTGCTTCACGTACGTACGTCCATTTAAGAATTCAACTTTTTTTTTTTGTTTTCAACGGTTGGTATCCTTATCATAAACATTTTCCGGATAAGAAATATTATATTGAGGTTTAATATATATATCGCGCACACGATAATAAATTAACTCCAGTTTTTACCTTTTGAAAATTTAATTTCGATTCCAGAATTTGATAATAAATTGTTATGCGAAAACACTTGACGTGTGTCAAACACAAAAACATTAAACATTAAAAATGTAAACAAAAATTCAAGCCAACGATTTTTTTAAAAACAGCAGAAGAATCTAGTCACAACCACGACTAAAGTTAAACTCTCGACACGATACTAAACAGAAGAGAATTTTGAAAAACCGGAACCCCTAACATTGAATCCCCCAACAACTGGAATAACTCATTCAATCGAACCCTAGGGCATTGCACACCCTTGACGGTAACTATTCCAGCCCCCTCATCTTTACTATTATTATTATTATTATTATTTTTTCTCCTACGTTCTTTTTTTTCTTCTCATTCGTTGCATCTGTTTTTATCTCACACACACACACACACACATTATCCATCATCTCCTATCCTGTGTTTTTATTTTTTTCCATTGCATTGTATTTTGACCACGAATCTCATTGTGACATACACGAATCACGTATTATTATCATTATCATTATTATTATTATTTAAATAAAATTTTCTTTTGTGGGTGACTAATGGTTATAATAATCCGCTTAAAAGGATTTGAAAAAAATTTAACTTAATTTAATTCCTTTAATTTTTTTTTTCGGCCTTTTTATTTATCCAAGTGTGAATCTTTTATTAATTAACCACATTAGAAAACATAAATTATGTTTCCCGCATAAATTATGTTTTTTAAATGTCTTGTGGTTGTTGTCGTTGTTGTTGTTGTTGTTGCTGCGATTAATAATTAAATTTTATGTAAAAAAAAATTTTCACGATCCCTCTCGAGTTTCTTTTTACAAAAAAATTATTATTATTATTATTTTTGCATAGGTTTTAAATTTTATTAAAACGTGATTAGAAAAATATGATGCAGACGACGATAATATTAATAATAATAATAATACTAATAATAATTTTAAAAAAAAGTCACGTTAATATCATTGGAGTCATTGGAATTTTATTTATTAATTTTTTACTCTTTGGACTTTTTGAAATTTTTTTTTATTAAGTTTGCACCTTTTGCAATTTTTTTTTTTAATAATCTCTTTATTTATATTTATGTCTACGTGTTAATAATAATAATAATAAATATTATTGAAAATAAAAAATTGTGTTTGTTATGCATTACACCCCATAGTATATATACCTTTATTTATTATTATGTTAATTAATGGTTTTTTTTTCCTATTCCTATTCATCCTTTTATTTATTATTATTATTATTATTATTATTCGCCGATAAAAATTATTAAAGCGTGATGACGGGCAGATGCCCATTTTTTAAAGGGGTTTTTTATTATTATTATCATCATCACAATTCACGAGTTATCAAATTGATTAGAGATTGATAAAAACATCTGCGTGATATTTTATTATTATTCAATTTTTCACGATCGGTTATTTTTGACAAAAAATTTTCCACCAAGTAAAATATGGCGGATCAAATAATTATTTAACCTTTTCTTATATAACCTTTGATTGAAAACAATTTGTTGTTCGAAACAATGCCTGGAGTTGTTAGAAATTATTATTATTATTATCGCGATTAAATAATTTTTTTTTTATTATCGTGATATTATAGATTAAAAAACAATAAAGAAAAAAAAAAACTTTTTTTTTACTTAAGGGTTCGGCCATTTTTGTTTTTTTAAATGTAAAAAAGACCGAAAATAAAAAAGCGAGAAAAAAAAATTTTAAACGTATGTGGCGGTCGATTATAATAATAATAATAATAATAATAATAATTTGCATTTTTTTTATTTTACTTGTTCTCATGTGTAACCATTTCTTGTTACACTTTTTTTTTTTTTTAAATTCTCGATTGAAGTTCATTGAATCATTTTACCTTGTTACTTAAATTACTTGTTTACCCTTTTTTTTTCTTTCTTTTTGTCTTTTTACAACAATAAATTTTTTTTTTTTTTGTAAGCGGAAACTAGCTTCCGTTTTTGTATTGTACCCAAAACAAATGAATCAAACGGTGGACAAACGTGAATCTAAATACACGATTTTTAAATATTAAAACAAACAAAAACTCGGTTATGTTTCAATTTGTATAATTGATTTATTTTCCTTTTACTTAAATGTAAATCCGTTTAAAAAAATTAACCGTCGACGACTATGCTTTTTTCATTTAATTTTTATCACGTGACCCCGTCTTACCCAAATAATAATAATAATAATAATTTCTTTTGAGTTAAAACGATTAGATACACGTTTGCGACATTAATTAATTTATCGCATTTTAAATATAATTAAATAGATAAAATTGTTGTCGATTTTTATCTATACATTAAATTTTATCAGTCGGAAAAAATAAATATAAATAAATATTAAGTCAATGATAAAAGAGAAAAAGAGGATTTTAAATAAAAAATAATGTTAATAAATTATTTATTTTTCTATTGATAATTCCTAATAATAATAATAACTTTTTTTTAAAAAAAAAGCTTTGAAGAATGTGAGGTTACGCCTGAAAATTTTATACTTATGCAATTTTACATGCATGAAAAAACATGAAAATGCCTAGTAGTGGTCGTAAATTGCGGGGAATAAAACATTTCTTATGATGAATCATATAATAAATGTTGAAAATAAAAAAAAAAGCGTTACGATTTTTTTTTATGTTTTATGTTAAATTCTCCATTTTTTTTTATTTTACGGTCCGTAAATAATAATAATAATTAATCTGCGGAAAAGTTTATATTTTCGTTATATATGTATATGAAATATTAAAAATTTTCATTATTATTATTCTTACAATTATTAGATTAAAAATTAAATTCGAGGTTAGAAAAAAATTTTTCTTTACCTTTGGCCTTCTTTGCTTTTAAATTTAGCCTTGAAATTTAAATTCCTAACCTTATCATACAACTAATTTTTTTTTTTATACGTCTACTACTAATACAAAAGAAGAAAAATAAGACGCCAAAAAAAAAAAAAATCGGTCAAAATCGAAGAGAACGGTCAAAGTAAGAAAGAGAAACTTTACATCTCGATACGTACTTTCAAACCGTTATAATACTCATTAATAAATAAATATCGATTTAATTGACTTACCCTTACTACCGGTATAACCCGGTGCTGATGCAGTACTTCCAGCATCACTTCCGGCATCATCTTCTTCTTTGATAACATCATTATCAACATCATTATCGATTTTTGTTTTCGATACTCTTAAACTATGATGAAGAGGAGTCATACGTAAAAGACGAGGCGTGTCACCATCGTAGGGTTTTAAATTACTAGAATTTCGAAATAAAACCATATTTTCTCCTATCCTCTCGTAAACGTCGGTTTAACGTCTCCCCATAAAAAACATTCTACGACCAAAAAAAAAAAATAAATAAATAAATATTTACTTATCTCGAATTAAAACTTCTACTCCACATGTAACAATAATAATGATAATAATAACAAATAAATATTTACAACCGAGAACAACCATTTTTTTTGTTTTGGATTCGTTCTCTTTACTATTTAATTAATAACAATAATAATAATTTTTTTTTTTGTAATTTACATTTGAGATGAAACGTTATTATTATTATCATTATTATTATTATTATATTTAATTTTCAAAATTAAAAAAAAAACCTAAAAACCTAAATTACACACACGCACACGCACAATTATTTTTCTTATCGCACGACGAAAAAAAAACGTCAAATCAAATCGACAACATTTAAATCGTAATCAAGTTGTGTTGGTTGGTTGTTTGGTTGTTTGGTCGGTTGTACAACGCGATATACTTAACATATCTTATGCTAACTGTTTGCCGACTTTTTTTTGTAATTTTGTAACGTTTTGTAATGACCTAGAAAAATGTCATCTCGATCGGTGTGGATTAATAATGATAATGATATATGTTAGTTGATTTTATTTTTAATTTAAAAATTTTATTTTTTCAATTGTCACTATTTATTATTATCATTATCATTAGTATTATTATTGTTTGTATCGTTTGTCTGGCAAACGGCACATGTGAGACAAATTAATAAAAAAAAAGTCAACAACAACAACTACAACGTGTGTCACTTTAATGAATAAGTCACTTCCTGAATTTGTTTTTAAAACAAAACGACTTCGTTAAAAATAATAATAATAATAATAATAATAATTCAAGGTTGCCTAATTTAACAGGTTTACTGGGGAGGGGGAGGGCAAAGGTTCGCGTTGATTAAAAATTGTCCAAAGCTAATGTTAAAACGTTTTTATTTCACCTTGTTTGTTTGTACGATGATATTACGTTAATTGATGCTCTCACGCAAAAAAAAATATTATTATTATTTTAATAAAAAAAAATTTTTTAAACGACAAACAACAAACAAGAAAAAAAGGAACATTTGTCAAGATAAAAACAATCAAGGACACATACAATCAATGAAGGAAGAAATAATGGCGGCGCCGAAGTTTTTGCAAAACTGATTAAACCGACTCGTGCGAACGGAAATATTTAATTTAAAAAAAAAAAAAATTTCCTTTTTTCCGCCTGCGTGTCACCCTTAAAAAAAAAGATATTTTAAAACCCTACCCTAAGCCCCCCCCGCATTGTTTTACCCAAAAAAACTCCCCCCCAAAAAAAAAAAAAGTAATTCACATACTTTTGTTTTTTTTTTTTGTCAACAAACGATAACGTTCACAACAAAAAACAATTTAAACTGGCATACTTGACCTTCTTTTTTTTTTTAAAAGAATTTTTTGGTTCATTTTTTTTTGATTGCGCCGGAATAATAATAATAATAATAATAATAATAATAAGGATAATAACATAATTTCCAGATTTTTTTTTAAAACATTCGGGGTAGTAGAATGTTTTTTCCAAAAAAAAAAAAAAAAAAAAAAAAACAAATTAAAAAAAACGGGCAATAAAAAAAAAAGGATTTTGATAAAATTGTTTTGTTTTTTTTTTTTGTCTAAAACCACGATCAGATTAAAATTTTTTTTTTTTTACCTTTCCCCGCCATTTTTTTTTTTTTTTAAAAAGTTTCTCTTTCTTTTTCATTTTGAAATTTTTTTTTTTTTTTTTATTTCACTGACATCAATTTTTTTATTTCACGAATAAAAAATTTATTATAATTATTATTATTATTACTTTCTTTTATTTCCTTCTCTCTCTTTCTCTCTCCCCCCCCTCCACTCCATTCCCATTTTCTTTTATTATTATTATTATTATTAATTAGTTTAAATTTTTATAATTAATTTGACCTTTTGCACTTTACTTTTTTTTTTTTTAACTTTCGACAAAAAAGTTTACACGCACGCGAATGTTTTTAGCGTGAGTGTGTGTGCGTGTGGGTGCACATTCTAAGACGTGTGTAAGCAGACGAAATTTCAATGTTTAAATGCCCTTCGTTGGCAAATAATAATAATAATAATAAATACGTGAAAATATTTATTTTCAAAACATAAAATAATTATTATTACATTCAATCAATTTGCCAACTATTTTACTACGTTTTTATGTAAAACAAACAAACAAACGACAAACACATTTTTTATCGAAGGTTTTTCTTTGAATATTAATAATAATAAAATATATTTCCTACTCCACAAATTTTTTACGTTTATAATAATATAATAATATGGATTGTACGCGTAGCCGCCATTTTGTTTTTTACGAAAATTCCGTTAAAAATTTTCTCACTCTCCTATTAATTCCTTTTCTATTTTTCATAATAAAAATTAATAAATTATTTATGTTATTATTATTATTATTATTACGTTTTACGTAATTTAAAGCATTATTATTATTGTTATAATCATCGAAAAAAATTAATGGGCGGTTTTATTTAATTTATTATCACACGTAATAATAATTATTACGCGAACGTGCACTATATATAAATATACGTAGATAATAATAATAATAATAATAGTTTTCAATAACGAAATGATTTTCGATTCAACGAAAAAATAAATAAATTTACGCCTCTCATTTTATAATATAATTCTGAGAAAAAAAAATCTTAATAAAATTTGATATTATGTATTTTTATTAAAAAAAATTTTTACAGCCTAAAAAATCGATCGATAAATCGATCTCTCGCAAAAACGGAAACTAAAAATTCCCATATAAGCTAATCAAGAATGAAAAATCAGTCAAAACAAAAAAAAAAGTCGCAATCGAAATAAAATTTTTTTTTCGTAATTTTTCCTCATAAATTCTTGTTTTTTTTTCAATTATTATTATTATTATCTATTATTATTATTATTATCATTATTATTATTATTATTATTATTATTATTATTATTCTTGGGGAGGCCTACGCAAAAAAAAAAATTAAACGACGTTTTCATTCATACGCGTATATTAATATTATAAAATTATAAAATTCCATATAAAAAAGGAAAGACGTACAAACGCGGTTGTTAAACCGACAACAAACAACAAACGTCAAACGAAAAACTAAATCAGTATGAAAATTCAAAAAACGATCAAAAAGAAAGGGAAAAAATTTTAATCCATTTCCAAACTTATTAAAAAATAATTTTTATTCGTTTGTTTGCTCGTTTGTTCGTTTGTTTGTTTGTTTCCCCCATCTCCTCCCCACGCATTATTAAAATTATTTTAAAATTCAATATGAAATCACGCGAATAAGTAAAAAAAAAAAAAGTAAAAGAAACCAGAAAGAACGCAAATAATACTAATAATAATAGTATAAATTCGATTTCAGGTATTAAATAACAGTCTAATAAAAAAAAAAAAAAAATTGGATATTAAATTTTTTTTTTGCGTTTGTTGGTTGTTCTTGTTTGCTCTCGTAATGCTATTATTTTAATAAAAATAAATTTTCTTTGATTTTAATAAATTTATCGTGAGAAAACTTTCGATTTGAATATGGTCAAGGACGTGAATGAGAGCAACAATTTCAGGGAGGGCAAAGACCAATAATACACATACAACCAGCACAACCAGCACAACAACCAACAAATTATTTAATAAATAAATTTAAATTGAAAATTATTTGATTGATTAGTTTTTTTTTAAAAAATTATTCTCACCATTATTATTATTATTATCATTCGAAAAATTTAAAAAAAAAGAAAACTTTTTTCATTTGTTTATCAAAAACATTGACAATTTTTTGTATCGCAAAATCCCCCCGAATTTGTTTATAAAAAAAATTTGTTGTTTGTATTATTAAAAATTGTTGTTTGTTATGCTTTATTTACTTAAAATTTTAGTTTTATAAACAAACAAAAAAACATTAATTAATTATTAAATAATTATTAAAAATAAAAATAAAAATTATAAAAAATTTGAAATTGTTAAAAAAAAAAAAAAATGTATGTTTACCTTATGGAAAATCAAAAACAAACAAACAAACAAAACTTAAAAAAAAAACGAAAAAAAAATATTCCAAAAAAAATAAAAATAAAAAAAAAAAAAATTTTGTACGTAAAACGATAACAACAACCGACAACAAGACAATCCCGATTCAACTGAAGGCGTTCAAACAACAACAACAACATCAACAACCCAATAATAAAGAAGAAGAGGGGGGAGGGAGGGGAGGAGGGAGG